TAGAAGGTGGAGATGCTGGCAACAGGGAAGACCAGATCGACAGACTTATTAAAAGGATGAACTAGGGTATCCACCATGATTATTTCTGTAATCTGGTCAGTAAACAAACAGTGGCTGTTTTCAGACTGAAAAAAAAAATATATATATATCAAAAAGCCTGAGAAAACAGCCAAGAAAAATGAGGACAAGATACCAGAAATACTAGGCTATCACCAAGCACCCAAACATCCGGATAACTGGTATCCCAGAATAGGGAGAAAATAACAAGGCCATTGATAATCTATTCCATGAAATCCTGGAAGAAAACTTTCCAAGCCTAGAGAGGCATTCAACTATCCAGACCTGAGCAATACATAGGACCCCAAACAGAGTCAAACCCAACAAGATCTTCTCCAAGGCACATCATAGCCAGAATGGCCAAAACCACAGACAAAGACAAGATACTAAAATCGGCAAGAGGGAAACATCAAGTGACTTACCAAGGTTATCCCATCGGGCTAACATCGGACCTCTCGTCAGAAACAATGCACGCAAGGAGGAGAGGCAAAAACGCAGGCCTCTGAGATGTCTACTGAACTTGAGCTCTGAAAAACTACTTTCGAGGACTAATACGGAAGATTTCTTGCTGAGACTTGCCCCTCCAGACCCCATTTCTTGAGCGGAGAGGCAAAAACACAGGCTTCTGAGATGCCTACTGAACCTGAGCTGTGAAAAATTACTTTCGAAGACTAAAACGGAAGACACTTTATAGCCAGGTTGGCCAAAACCACAGACTAAGACAAGATACTAAGATCGGCAAGAGATAAAAGGTCAAGTTAGCTACAAAGGATATCCCGCCAGGCTAACCGCGGACCTCTCTCGTCGGAATCCACGTGAGCGAGGGAAAAATGGGAAGATATACTCAAAGTGTTAAGTGAAAAACAATTTCAGCCAAGAATACTATACCCGGCAATATTATCCTTCGTATGGGAAGAAAAGACAAGAACATCCTCAGATAAACAAAACCTGAAAGAATTTACCAACACCAGACCAGCTCTCCAAGACGTTCTAAAGGGAGTGCTGTATCAGGAAAACTAAATACAGACACACAGAAATAAGAGTTCAAAAACAACTAAGCAGATGGCCAACCTAACGGTAGGGGCAAGTCTGGGGTCGGACGTTACCTTCCAGAATTTTAACAGAGAGCTCGGACCACAACAGAAGATAGATTTAAGTACATGAGAATGAACTGGTGAAAGAGAATCTTATGACTTTTGACTAAAACCTTACCGAGTTTCTTCTATGCTTTGTTTTCCAGATTTAAGGACTTTTGTCTTGTCTCGAACTGTCAATACGTTCATGTACCTGCTACTTGAACAGAACCCTACCTTGTTTCCTGGATTTTTAAGTCTTAAGCAAAGTTCTCTTAACTTTTATTTTGATTTTGATTTTCTGAAGCTAAAACTTGTTTTTTTTTTGAAATTAAAAAATTTATTAAAAATACCTATTTAATAATGACTGCAGTAAGCTATTTAGCCTCAGCTAGGTGCTACTTTATAGTATGTTCATTCTACTCAGAGATCCATGCCTGAAGTCAGACATGTGCTTACAGGTATGTATACATCAGCCAAACTTGCTATTGGAAGTAGTTAGAATAATTAAGATATTTTGTGAATCAATAAAATGTAGGGAGTGGGGGTAGGAATAGAAAGCAACTGTAGATACCAGAGACAGTTTGGGAGGAGGGTGGGAAACGACAGGGTGAGAAACAGAGGGGGAAAATACATACACATACATACATACACAGACACACACACACAGACACACACACACACACATACACACACACACAGATATGTAAGAAACAAGACGTGAAAAATTACTTGTTGACGATACCGTGTATGATTAAGCCACCATAGAGTGGATTCAGGATGAAAAATCGCATTGTGTATGCTGTGATGATGCTCAGTGAATGAATATAAAATAAATAAATACATTTTAAAGAAAAACAAATAAGTGATTAAAATGTTATGGATATTATACACGTGCTACTTAGACATATAGGCTGTTTTTATACAATATAATTAAATCAATTTCTGTATGTTAACAACGTCAACAAAAAGAAACAATGCGGGCAACGGAAGAATGGGGAAATATAGTCAAAGTGTTAAAATGAAAAACAATTTCGACCAAGAATACTACACTCAGCAAGACTATCCTTCATATGGAAAGGAAAGATTAAAAAAAAAAATTTTCGGAACCAGCAGTTAGCATAATGGCTATGTCGCTGGACTCCCACGTAGTCGACCGCGGTTCGAGTCCCGGACCCGGTGGCTTAAACTCAGGTCGGGCGCGTGTGCGTGCGTGCCCAAGATCCCCAAGAGGAGAACGGAGGAGAAGGGATTGCGGCGTGGCCATCCCCCCTGGGGGGGTGATCTTTCGCTTTCTGCCCGTCTCTGTCTTTTTGGCGAGCGTACGCACCCTATAGCAAAAACCTCTCAAAAAGAAAAAAAAGAAAAAGAAAAAGCATGGCACATATACTCTATGGAATACTATTCAGGTACAAAAAACAACAAGACCCTGGCATTTGATAGAAAGTGGCCGAATATGCAGGATTTACTGCTGAGTGAAGCAAGCCAGGCTACGAAAGGTAGATATTGCATGTATCTGCTTAATATATACCGACTAGCCACACTCTATGGTAGAGATTGAAATACTGGAGGGCATAAAGGCAGTGAAAACAGTTATGGACGCTGAAGACAGTGTGGGCCTAGGGAGGGAGGGAGAATGGGAGACCATAGAGAAGGCAATCAGGAGAAAAATAGGTATGACATTTGTGGGACACAGAAAAGGTTTATTATCTGTCGAGGGTAATATGTATAGTATTTTCAGCTGGACTGGTCTGAGAAGTATTTAATGTTAGGTAAATTCTCTTTACCAGTCAAATGATGTGTAGCGAGTGAATGTTTAAATAAGAAGAGAAAGAGAAATAATAATAATAATCATCTGGAAAAAAAATGAAAAGCTATTTGTTGATGAGGATGTGGAGTATAATATCTTTGTCTTGACTGATATGCATGGTAATCGTGCTGGAAAAAGAAATGTCATGCACCGTAAAGATGTATGTGATGGGGCTAGCAGGTGGCGTGGTGATTAACGGCGCAGGACTCCCACGTGGCTGACTGGTTCAAGTCCTGGACCTGGTGGCTTGCTTTCTCACTTTCCCACTCTTGTCTCTCTGTCTTTCTTTTATTTAAATAAATAAAAAGAAATATGTGACTAAATGTAATATGAAATAAACAAACAATTGCTGAAACAAGGAATCAACCTAAGTGTCCAAGACCTGATGACTGGGTGCATACATACTACGGAACATTACACAGCTATAAGAAACAATGAGGCCCTACCATTTGATTCCAAGTGGATGACTATGGAAGACTTACTGTTGGACAAAGTGAGGTGTACTTTGAAAGATACACACTGTATATCCCCACTCGACATGTACCAAATATCTGTACTCAGGGCAGAAATGGAACGATCTGAAGATACGATAGCAGAGAGATACAACAGTACAGGGGATTCAGTGCTTGTACCAGAAACTGTAAGGGAGGGCAGTGGTTGGTTCAGAGTGGGTTAGGTAGTGGGCGACTGTGAGGTGCAAAGGGAGGAAACATTTAACAGAAAGAAACATCTCTGTTGAAAATATATACATCACAACCCAGACTTTATGTAAAATGTGAAATCAGCCTGGAAAAATAAATAAATAAATAAATCAAAAGGCAGAATTTCTTAATTTTAAAAAAAGTGATTAATGAGACCAGCAGTTAGCATAATGGCTATGTCGTTGAACTCCCGTGTAGTCGACCGCGGTTTGCGTCCCGGACCCGGTGGCTTAAATTCACGCCGGGCGCGTGTGCGTGCGTGCCCAAGATCCCGAGAGGAGAATGGAGAAGAAGGGATTGCGGCGTGGCCATTTCCCCCGGGGAGTTACTTCTCGCTTTCTGTCTCTGTCTTTCTGGCGAGCGTACACATCCTATAGCAAAAACCTCTCCAAAAAGAAAAGTGATTAATAGGGCCAGCAGGTGGCGTGGTGGTTAAAAGGGCGCAGGACTCCCACATGGCTGACCATGGTTCGAGTCTCAGACCTGGCGGCTTGCTTTCTCACTCACACTCCCCGCCCCCCTCACCTCTCTAACCCTCTCTGAACAAATTAAAATAAATAAATAAATGGATTTGAAAAGTGATTAAAAACAAAAAGCCCCAAGGGCCCATCAGATGCCATGGTGGATAAGGTGTTGGACTCCCACATGGCCAACAGTCATTCAAGTCCTGGACCTGGCGGCTAGCTTTCTCATCTCACCCCACTCCGCCCTTAGCTCTATCTGTCTCTGGTGACATCATGTGTCCTGTAGCAAAAATAAATAAATAAATAAATAAATAAATAAATAAATGAAATGAACACTGAGTCACTAGAAAAATCATGGACTTTTTTTGCATAGAAAGACACGTCATAACTCTCCAAACGACCCAGTAACTCCTTTGAAAAAATAAGTAAACCCAGAAAGGCCTTCTCTGTTCAGGGTTCCGTGCCTACTCTGATTCCTTTCTGATGAACTGGTCTGCTTCCTCAGGCAGTACAGAGAGTAAGTTTAGAAGATCAGCCTCCCCCCACCCCTCCCCACTTCGGGTGGACACAGCATAGTGGCAGTTTCATGCACGGGGTGCAAACCAACATCAGGAAGCAAGAAAAAGCCACACAGCACCAGGTGCTACTAAGTAGCAAGTGACCAATGAGAAAATTCAGACCGAAGTGTGAAAGCAAAGGATCAAAATCAGAGCTAACAAAAGAGAAGGCAAACCCGTCTTTATTGGTTATTACGGCCAGTTAACGGCACATTGCCTAATCGTCGTTTTGTCTGTGGAGACCAGAAGAAAAGGGAATTCTGTGTATTTAGGAAGAAAATTACAGAATAAAGCAGCCGACCTGCACGACTTTCTCAACTATCCACCTTTCTGCCCACCTTGTCGCCAACTCCGTAAATGGGCGGAGTGGTCATTTTTATATCCGCGATGCTGATTATAGGTGAGTCCTCAATGGGGGGTTTGGGTATGAGACTCCGATTGGTCTGTATTTGGCTCTCAATCAGCTTGATAATCGCATCTGCTCTTTCCTTGGACATTGGCTTTCCATACCAACTTTCGGTATCCTCAACACCTGCAACGACACAAATAAAAGACCTTCGGTCTGTGACTACGTGACGGGCGCCTGTTAGGTCATCTGAACGCCATCCTGACAGAAGGGCTGTCAGCCTGAGACTCGAGTTAAGTGAAGAGTCTGGCACAGAGGGCCTGGGATGGTACTGTGTTCAGAGAGAACGGTCGGGACTGAGCCGTACCCTCAGAGGCCCTTCTGGGGACCGCTGGCCCATTTGCTGCTGACTGGAGGGGTGAGTGAGGAGAACAAGCTGGAAGGACAGGGAGGGCAGACCGTGGAGGGTGGCTGACAAGGACTTTTGAGTTCTACCCAAAGCAAGATGGGAGACCACTGAAGGGTTTAGAGTAGCGGAAGTGACTGACAAGCTCTGTTTTAGAAAGCGCGTGGTGGTGGGCCAGCAGGTGGCATGGAGATTAAGGCTCCGGGTCCCACACGGCCAACTGCATGGCTTGAGTCCCAGACCTGGACCCAGCAGCTTGAAGAATCACGCCGGGCATGTGTATGTGAGTGCCCAAAACCCCAAGAGGAAGATGGGACGAGAAGGAATTGTGGGACGGCCATATCCCTGGGGGGTGGTCTCTCTCTGCCCCTCCCTCCCTCCCTCCCTCCCTCTCTCCCTCCCTCTCCCTCTCCCATGCATTATGTGCCCCATGGCAAAAACTTAAAAGGATAAGGAAGAAGGCAAGTGTGTGGTGGCAGTGACAAGAACAACAGTGTGGAGGAAAAGGAGCTGGAGGTACAAAGGTCCCTCTAAAGAGATGCTGCAGTTGGGAGAGATGACGAGGGCTTGGCGACTGCCACGGACAGGAAAGATGGGGAGGAGTGGACGGATCTGAGAGAACACTTGAATGGACGGAAAGTGCGGACGGGGATACAGAGGAAAGGGAGGCAGAGACGACGACAACATCCAGCTTCTGCCAGGAACATGCCGGTAAAGGCATCCTTTACCAAACTAGGGGTGGTGTCAGAGTAAGACTGCATCTTGGGGAGGAGACACACCACCATTTCATTCTACTTTTGCGACTGTTTATAAACTTGAGAAGAACAACTTCAGGTGTCTCACGAGACACACACACACACACACACACACACACACACACACACACACCCTCCCCCCGCTGCCTCTCCCTTTCCTAGCTCCCCATGCATTCTTCTGGAACCTGGGCCTCAGCAAGCTTCTATGTACACACACCCTTCTTTCTGCGCCTGCTCCCACGCACAGCACGCTTCCCGACCCAGGATTCACCTGGTGACTGTGCCCTGCCAGCCCTCCTCTAACCGATGGCCTACCCTAGCCACTCCCTCATGCAGGTAAAAGAGCACTATTTACTTGCTAGGTATTGGGGCTTCCCCTCCAACCCTGTGCAGACAAGCCATCTAGTGAGGGCAAGAGCAAGCCGGGCCTCTAACACACTTTGAAGGTGTAATCACTGCCTACTGAGGAAGTCGTCTCAGCCCGGCCAGCCTGAGCTTCCTTCCGCCGCTTACGTCCTGCAGACGGGCATCTGTAACGACCGCTGGCAGGAAAGGAAATGCTGGCTTACTTGGCACGCCCCGGCCCTTGAAGGTCTTGGCAATCACAGCAGTAGGCTTCTTCTTCACCTGAGCTGCCTGCCAGAAGACCTGGCACAGCACCTCCACATCGCGGCCATCCACCACATAAGTATTCCACCTGGCAACAGAGGACGTGGCCGGTTACGGGAGATGGAGGAGGGCAGGACAAAAAGAAGGTGAAGCAAGAGAGGACACCGTTACCCAAAGGCTTCACAGCGCTTCTGACAGATGTCTATGCTGTGCTCAGGGGGCAAGCTGCCACCGTGTCCCAGGCGGTTCACGTCAAAGATGGCCACGAGGTTGTCCAGACTGTAGTGGGAAGCGAAGGCCAAGGCCTCCCACACGGAGCCTTCCAAGGACTCGCTGTCTCCCAGGAGGCAGAACACCCGGTAGCTGCAGCAAGCCAAGAGAGGTTCAGGGCCGTGCTGGGCCACTTGAGCAAGGAGAGAGGCAAAGGAACAGAAGGGACAGGCTGCCTCAGAGTGTGAGGGTCCTATGTGGGCTTTCCTCATCAACACGGCCAGTCCACGCGGTCCAGCTTTCACAGCTGGGTGTCCCAAGAGGGGTTTTGCCAGCTGGAAGGCCGCTTTTAGGTAGTTCTGCTGCTTCTCCCCATTGACGAACAAGAAGGCAGAGGGGAATAGGAGGACATCCGCTTCCCTATGACCCAGTCAACCCCCACGCCTATGTCCTCCTGCTCTGTCCCTTCAGGCACGGACGCTCTCCTCCTCTGATCCGGCCATTTTACTGACAGTCCCCCAAACATCGAAACATCCTCCCTCAGGAGCACAGGCGCTGCTGGAAAGGTAAATTCCTCCAGCAGAAGCCACGTGAAACACCTATGTCAATAAACCACGTCCCGGGCCCCAGTGAAACACTCTGAAGTCTGTAAAAACTCACTACGACCCCAGGGTAAGACCTGGGAGAGGCAAGGATCGCTGTCAAACGTTGGCAGGCTCCTGAGAAGTAGAGCGGGATGACTGCCCAGAGAGTGGAAGCAGCGTGACCGAGTACCTTCCAGAGTGGTCGCCAGAGGCCAGAATGGGGACTGGTCCGTCGGGGCTCTTTCCCACCTACACCCCCCGGAGGGGGATGCGCGGTGGGGCAGTTAAGTGTTTCCTGGGTAAGCACCTTACCTGGCCGTGTCAAAGTACTTGCCAGTGTATGCCATACCGCACGCGACCCCCAGTCCTTGCCCGAGCCATCCAGTTGCCACATCAACAATCGACAGTCTCTGTGAGAGAGAAGGGACCCAATGAACCTAGGCACAGGGGCAGGACACGGCGCTGGGCAGCATCTCCCACCCATCTGGGCGAAGAAGCCCTCTTCACCACATCCGCGTGCACCCCACATCTCAGACCCATGTTAGAGGCATCTGGGTTGCGAGTCAGGCCCGGGGCCTGCCTGGGCTAGAAAGAGGGTGACAAAGGCGAGGAAGACGCCTGTCATCAACGCCAGGGAGCTGTAGGAAATCCATACAGACTGGTGAGGGGGACCGAAGTTCCGGGAGCACAGAGGAACGAGCCTGTGTGCGACGCAGAAAACGTGAGGCATGATGCTTGTCCTTTCCTCCACCCTTCCACACCGCCCCCACCCCCCAAACCAGAGGCTCAAGCTGGGGGAAAGTACAGGCTCTGAAGCCGAGACCACCAACACCAAAGGCAGTCGACTTGTCGGGTTGGGCAAACTGGTGTCAATCGAGATCTTAGGAGGGTCCGCCCGGAAGTGCCGACCCATGCCCCCTCAACCGACACCCTGCCTGGACACATGGAAGTCGTCTCCGTCCCATGGAGTGAACATGGCCGTCTGAGGGCCCCAAGGCTGTGTCCAAGGGTTGCTGCGCCGACGGGGTGGTCCCCACTCCCAAGTGTTCAGGCACGCTCAATCGATTCAAGAGTTTCTGCTGCTAACACTTTAGCCTGGCTACCAAGCATCTCTTGCCTCGGTCCTTGCAGTGGCCTCTGTGCCACCCCACCCCCAGTGCTGCCTCCATAGCCTCGCACAACCTGGCCACCCGGGGAAGCCTGTTAAAACTTCAGCTGGCAGGACCAGCAGATGGCATAATGGTTACGTTGCTGGACTCCCACGAAGTCGACCGCGGTTCGAGTCCTGGACTCGGTGGCTAGAAACACACGCTACTTGTGTCTGTGCGCACCCCCCCCCCGAGATCCCGAGAGGAGAATGGAGGAGAAGAGACTGTACCCTGGCCATCCCTCCTGGGGGGTGATTTCTCGCTTTCTTTCCCTGTCTGGCTCTGTCTCTGGTGAGCGGATGGGCCCTACAGCAAAAATGTCTCTAACAAAACAAAATAAAAAAAACTTCGGCTGCCTCCAGGGCCAGCAGGCAGTGTGGGGGTTAAGGCGCTGGACTCCCACCTGGCCGACCGCGGTGTGAGTCCGGGACACGGTGGCTTGAAAACCACACCTGGCACGTGCGTGCGCGCCCAGGATCCCAAGAGGACAATGGAGGAGAAGGGACTGTGGCCTGGCCATCCCACCCCCTCCCAGGGGAGGGGTGTGATTTCTCACTGTCTCTCTCTGGCAAGCACACATGCTCTATGGCAGAAACCTTCAAACAAACAAAAACCTGAATGTTCAGCTGGCTCACCACACAAGGTCTTCCCAACTCCTCCCAAGCAGACGCCCAGGATCCCAAGAGGACAATGGAGGAGAAGGGACTGTGGCCTGGCCATCCCACCCCCTCCCAGGGGAGGGGTGTGATTTCTCACTGTCTCTCTCTGGCAAGCACACATGCTCTATGGCAGAAACCTTCAAACAAACAAAAACCTGAATGTTCAGCTGGCTCACCACACAAGGTCTTCCCAACTCCTCCCAAGCAGAGCTCATGTTCTCCTACCGGCCCGCCCAATCCAGCTTTATCATCTCCTACCCACTCCCCGCACCCCACCCCCCCCCACTCTGGGCACATGCCCACCTCAGGGCTTTAGCACTCCTGTCTCCCTCTACCCGAGTGCCCATGAATAGATGGGGGGCACGGCTCATTCTCCACCTCTTCCAAACCTCTGCTCAAACATCAGCATGGAGACTTTCTGGCCACTTTGTTTCCACTGGTGTCCTCTACCCCCTCTGCTCCGCTTGTTCTAGATCGCTTAGCCCTACCTGACATGTTATCTGTTCCCGGGGTTATGTCCTGCCCATCCCCCTTCCTCTGTTCCAATGTCCACTCCATTCAAGTGGAGGTCTGTGTGTCCTTGGGTTCTTCCCACAGATAAAGGAACTGGTGCTCATTACCCTCTGCTCTCCCTGCCCCCTTCTTGCTTTCTCCCCTCGACTCCGCCTCCCTGGGCTCTTGTGACCTGCTCTGGTTTCCTTCACAAGCACAGTGACCCCCGAGACTCCCTCTCAGTTTTGCATCTCTAGCCCAGCAGAGCTGCCTGATTCAAATCTCTTCTGAGCACATCTATCCCTGCCTGGCTCGACCTGCCTCCCCTGTGGCTCCCGCCTCACTCCTGTAATGAGTTCTGGCTCCCAGTGGCCTTGCCTGCCCCTCAGGCAGAGCCTGGGCTCAGCGCTCAGACCAACTCTGCTCCCACCCCCAGGCCATGAAGACTGGGTGGGGCAGATGAGGCCACCACAAGGCTTCACCTCAAGGGTACCACGAAGACAAGAGCTCCCTCAGGTGGCAAGAGGCTTAAAGGACAAGCTAAGAAGTTGGTGGGGAATCAGCAGGATGCCTGGCCTGGCAGAAGCACCGCCCCCATGTCTGGGGGGCCCTTCTCTTTCCCAAGAGCCCTGACGCTGGGGGGAGTGAAGGGAGGCGGGAAGACCCGATTCAGAGGGAGTCCGGGCTAGAGTGAAGACGCACACAAGGTCCCAGGGGTACCCAATGGGACTGCTCTCCCAGATGGCAATCCTCCCTCTCTCGTGCCGGCACAAGATGTGCCCTGGGGATGAAGTCCTGAGCACAGAGGCCTCTGGGTATTTTCTGGGCCTGCTGGTGGGAAGAGACAAAAGAACTGATGCCACAAGAACAGAGGCCTGTGGGCTGAGGGTCCTAAATCTCCTCACTTGGGCTCCTTCAGCACTGACGGCTCTAAGGGGATCCAAGGACCTGGCAGTCAGGGGCGACGCCAGGCCTTGGCCGCTAGTCTTCCTGCACTAGACACCCGGTGTGTCCCAAGGATCCGGGAGCTAGTGGCCAGCCCCGGCTTCAGGACTGGCACTGCCCAGGGCACTGCCGCTCCCCCACCTGTGGCGCGTCTAACTGACCCCGTCCCAGTCACGGCCACGGCGAACTAGCCTGTGTAATTTTTCTCTCCTCTCCCCATTTTCTACCTGCACCTGAAGAACACACAAAAGACGACAGCTCAAGAGCATCCGGGGTGCCGCTACTGCAGGCCAGAGAGCCTCGATCTCTCTGAGGCCAGTGGCTCGCAGCAGCAGTCAGAGGACGGAGTAGGCGTCTTCCTCTCTCTTCGGCCAAACGTCCTCATTGTGCCTACATGCTTTTCTTCAGTACCAAAAGGGAAGTTCGAGCTTACAGGCGAGTCATGAGATGCAGCACAGAAGTCCATACGCCCTTCACCTCAACCCACCAGGTGACTCCAACAGACCACGTTCACGTCCTTTGTCTCTCTGAATACACACACACACACACACACACACACACACACACACACAGACCTGCCTGTCTGTCTTTCCTTCCTTATCATTTTTGGCCAAGCCACTTGAGAATATGTCTCAGAGGCCAAGACAAGGGTCACAACTGGGACCCCCTGGACGCTTCGGCCGAGTCCGTGGCTTGATGCTGTCCTTCGCCTGCTTCCCGCTGCCCTGAGCTGGTCTCTGTGTGTGGACACAGAGCTCTCCTAGCTGGGTTTTAAATGTACACTCTGGGACACAGTGTACTTTCCGACCACATCAAACCAGCCACCTGCTCTCAGGTCAAGCTTGCCTTTAATGCTCCTTTTCGTTCCTGTCCCCTCACCCTCAACATCACCAGGTTGCTGGCAGTGTACCCAGTCTAAGGAGATGATACCCCATCAACGTGAGGTCACATCCACAGGGAAACGGGAGGAAAGCTGGCTGATGGGTGGGGCGGGACGTCCCTCCAAAGCCCACACGATTCTCCTCAGACTCAGCGAGTCGCATCTGCTGTGTCCTGGGCCTCTGCCCAGGTGGCACAGAGGAGTGAGAAGAGTACTGTCCAGCCCACGGGGGCTGTGGTGCCAGGTGGGGCGAGGCACGGTACCACAGTGAGAAAGGGCGGGCAGCGAGCTGCCACGTGCCACCCTCCACGCGGCACTCATGTGGTTCCAAGCAGTCCTCACCAGAACACCTGTCGGACATTCACGACACAAAGGAAGAAGCAGGAAACGATAAAGAGCCTCTTTCGGGCCTTGCTGCCGCACGTGGCTTTCGGATGTGGGTTTAAGCAGCAAGCGTCCAAACAGGCCCCGGACTCCCCTGCTCGTGTACCTTTGAGACGACGAACCGGTCGTTGTCTGGGTTCTCCGGTTCCAACTGCTTGTACCTCATCGTGTAGAAAAACAGCACGGACATGATCTCGGCAGAGCTGCTGCACGCTGTAGGGTGGCTGAAAGCAGACATGACACAGGTCATCTCTCCTCGCAGGCAAGCGACTCCCGAGTTTGGCACAGGGTGCACGAGGCTGCCCTTCAGCCCTTGGTCTCCTCAGACCAGAAGCAACGGGGTCATTCCTCCTGGTCTGGGGAGAATCCATCCGAGAGGAAGGGATGCAGGACCACCTGTGACTTCCCCAGCTCCCAGCACTGAGGGATGCTCTACAGCCCAGTACAGTCTAACTTCCCCGCCTGCGCTCCGCCCGGGGGCTCTGAGACCACCCTCTTCTATCAGTGGAGCATCCTGCGCTTCGGGCAGGGTTGCCTCACCACTCTCACGTGATTATTGCTTCACTGGCTTGACTTCATCTGCACTCCTTCCACATGCTGAGGTGGTGTCCTCACTAATCAGAAACTCGACAAAGACCTCATCCTACTACCTAAGATGGATCTCTTTTAGGAACCGGATGGTCAAAACCTGAGAGATTTCTCACGGTCAAGGAACCCAAGCCCCTACCGAGTGCGGAAATAACTGCTGCTCTTAGAAAGTGGCCTATGTGTGGGCCAGTTCCATGGCCTGGTGGTTAAGAAGCTAGGTCCCATGCGGCCAACCGTGCGGCTCGAATCCCAGCCCTGGCGGCCTGTAAAACATCCCACACACACATGTGCGTGCATGTCCACAATCCCGACAGGGTGGAGAAATAGAGGAGAAGGGACGGACAGCGACGTGAACACACCCTGTTGAGGGGTGCTTTCTCCCTCTCTGTCTGCCTGGTCTGTCTGTCTCTCTCTCTCTCTCTCTCTGGAGAGTGCACACGGCCTCTAGAAAATTAAAAAATAAATAAATAGAAAAACAAAAACAGAATCGGCCTATGTGTGAGTCCAATCGATCTCTCACTAATTAATAAGGGGGGAAGGGACCAAAGAACAGGGGACCAAAGTACTCCCTACCGCCCTGACTCCAGTCGGATGACTTCAGGCCCAGCTCATTCCTATTACTAATAGTTTGGTTCAAGTTTCACAAAACAGAAAACGGGGACTTGACCTCTTGTGATAGCAGAGTGCAGGTTGAGCATCCCTCACCCCCAAATCCTGAATGCTCAAACAGCCAAAACCACACCTACCCCCATGTGACTGATCACAGTCAAAATGCTCCAATTAAAAATTATATATACGTGGGGTCGGCAGGTGGCATGGGGGCTAGACTCCCACATGGCCGACCACGCTTTGAGTCCTGGACCTGGCAGCTTGCTTCCTTTCTCACTTTCTCTCTCTCTGGTCAAATTTAAATAAATAAACAAAGTTAAATAAAATAATTCTTAAACAGCAATAAGGACAATCGTATAAACTAAAAAACCAAAAACCAAAAAACTATATATATATACACGGGCCGGCAGGTGGTGGAGGTGCTGGACTCTCGGCTGACCGTGTTACAACTCCTAGACCTGGCAGCTTGCTTTCGCACATGCCCTTTCTCTCTTTCTCTCCCTCTCTCTCTCACTCTCTGGTCAAACTAAAAACATAAATAAATAAATAACAATAATGAACAAAGTTAAATCATACTTTAAAACAACAAACAAACAAACAAAAACATTATACATACATGGGTCAGTAGGTGGCACGGTGGTTACGGGGGGCTGGACTCCCAACGGCCTACTGTGGTTCAAGTCCCGGACCCAGCGGCTTGAAACTCACGCTGGGTGCATGTGCACACGTGCCGGAAATCCCAAGCGGATAATGGAGAAGGGGTTGTGGTATGGCGATCCCCTCCCCGGGTGAGGGTGTGTGTGTGATTTCTCACTTTCCTTCTCTTTGTCTGTCTCTGGCAAGTGCACGTGCCCTAAGGCAAAAACCCTCAAACAAACAAAATCAATACATGCATGGGGGTGGGAGGGGGGAGATCAGGGGAAAAAAACCAACAGAACATTTAACAGACACAAAAGTGCAAAGTTGGGACCAGCAGATGGCGTAATGGTTACATCGCTGGACTCCCTCTTAGTCGACCGCGGGTTCGAGTCCCAGACCCGGTGGCTTCAACCTCATGCCGGGCATGCTTGTGTATATGCCCAAGATCCCAAGAGGAGAACGGAGAAGGGACTGTAGCATGGCCATCCACCCCCACCCCCCCCGGGAGGTGGTTTCTCGCTTTCGGTCTGTCTCTGTCTGTCTGGCGAGCGCACTTGCTCTATAGCAAAAACCTCTCTCGCAAAAAAAAAAAAAAAAAAAAGGAAAGAAAAGGATATATACACACGCACAGTATAAGACTGCCCTCAAGCTACACGCGTACAGCGTATACAAAACAGAACTGTTTCGGGTATACCAAATTCTGTGTTTAGACTTGGGTCCCATCCCTGAGCCATCTCATTTTGTATAGGCAAACATTCCAAAACAAGAGAGGAAAAGATGGAACATTTTGGTCCCAGACATTTCAGGTAAGTGATACTCTACATGCATTTTCTCTGACCATGATGGGATGAAGTTAAAAATCAGTAATAGGAGTACAGGAAAATTCACAAAGTTGTGGAAATTAGACCATGTACACTTTAAAAACTAAAACCTTTTTAGATTTTTGCCACAGGGCACGTGCACTCTCTGGAGACAGACAGAGAGAGCAGGGATGTGATAAATCACGGAGGGGGAGGGGGGAATCCACAATCCTTTCTCCCCCAGTCTCCTCTCAGGATTTTGGGCACGCACTCACACGCACCCGGCCACTAGGTCCAGGTCCGGGACTCAAAGCAGGCAGTCTGGCACATGGGATTCAGCGCCTTCACCAGCATGCCACTTGCTGGCCCGACAGCACACACTTACACAGCCAACGGGTAGGAAAAGAAGAGCTACGAGTCAAGGAGAGAAATCCCAAGGAAGGTGAGAAACGTTTGAGAGATGAGTAAAGAGGAAAGCACCACATACCCAAACCTACGAGACACAGCCAAAGTCCTGCTAAGAACAAAATATAAAGGTGTAAACATTTTTGTTAAAAACAAACAAACCGAAAAAACCTGGATGGGACCAGCAGGCGGCGTGGTGGTGAAGGTGCTAGATTCCCACATGATGGACGAGTCTGAGGTTTGAATCCCGGATCTTGAAAAACACGGCTTGGGAAACACGGCTTGGGAAACACGATGGGTGCGTGTGCCTGCGTATGCCCAGGATCCCAAGAGGAGAATGCACTCGGGATTGTGGCGATAGATAGATAAATAAATAAAAATAAAAAACACGCTACCGCCTCCAATCAACAGCCTAACTTTACAAATTAAGGAATCAAAGAAATAAACCCGAAGTTGGCAGGGGGAGGGAGGAAAGATTAGAGCAGAAACAAATAGCAGACACTGTGGAAATGGAGAAAAGGCAACAAAAGCAAAAGTTGGTTCTTTGAAAAGATGACCAAAAGTCTCGGTACACCGGGAAGCCTTAAAGAGAGGAGACGCAAGTAATGAGGATCCCAAGTGAAAGCGAGGCCATTCCTGAGGAATCCCACAGAAAGAAGGAGCGTCGGAGGCCCAGCCGCTGGGGTAGGCAGGAAAGCCAGCGCGCGCTGCAAGATCGACGGCCGCGGGCTAGGTTCAGACCCGTGGTCGGCCAGAACGCAGGCTGCAATGCAAGCACCCAGGATCCTGAGGACCTGAGGAGCTGGGGAGCCGGGATCACAACATGACTAGACTAGATGGGGTCGAGGGCGCCTGCCCGGCCCCGTGCCACTCAACACCCAGACAGGAAAACGGAGACTCCAGCAGATGCCAGAACGGAACTACCAGAGTCCTGGAATCGACCGGACGCCCACTGAGTGGTTAACCTGAGAGGGCCGCCTAGCGCCTAGGGACCGCGGCACCACCAGACGTGAAAGAGCCCAAACTCTGAGGAGGTCGAGGCAGTGAAAACAAACGAACTCGCACCAGACACCTGTGAAGAACCACCACCCTGTGCCCGATGGCCGCACTGGGCAAACTCTCCCAATGCTGAAAGAATCAGTGCCGCCTCTCCTCAGATTCTTCCAGAAATCCAGTCAGCGGAACCCTTCGCACCTCTCTTAGTCGGTCACTGCCATGGCCTCGATAGACTCCGAACGAGAAAGCCCCAGACACACATCCCTCATCGGCAGACAGAAACACCCAGCACACCACCAGCCAGCCCGGCTGTCCCTCTGCGCCCTCAGCAGCGCGCCCTCACCATCAGGTAAACGCGGTGTTCGTGCGTCGCGTCCGGGGCACCAGGCAAGGACACTGACCTGACGCAGGAGGCCCCGGCCCCGCTTCCGCGCTCCCGCGCTCCCGCGCTCCCGGCCAACAGCCGCCCGCGTGATCCACCCCAGGTCCACCCGCGGCCCGCTCAAACCGGCTCCGAACCGGTGAGGGCCTGGGACGGCACTGCGGGCCTGTAGAACCTCGCGCGGGCCAGGCAGGCACCCAAGCAGAGACAGCCTGCCCCACGGGCTGGCGACAGTCACGCCTGACGGGCATCCTGCGGCTTGGGGTGGCAGCCGTCCCCGGCGGCCGGGGACAGGGATTCTATGGCTGAGCCCCCCCGCCCCCCCCCCAGGCCCTCTTTCTTCCCACAGGCGCCGTCCCCGGGGCCCCGCCGACGCGGGCTTCGACGACAGGGCCGTACCCACCACTTCCCGGAGCACCTGCACCGTCTTCTCATCAGGCCGGGCCTCGTCCAACGGCCGGGCCTCGTGCAAGGCCGCGGCGCTCCCCTCGGAGTCGGACATGGCTGCGAGCGCGCAGAAGTCTGCCCAGCAACTGAGCGCGCCGGCGTCTGCCCAGCAACTGAGCGCTCGCGGCGCGGCCCTCTCGAGAACTGCGCTGGACGATCCCTCCGCGCGCATGCTCCCAGCCGCCAAGCGCGGACGGACGTTCGCCGCTGGGCCG